GAATGCAGTGTCTTGATATCTCATATAAAGAATTTAGTTGCAGAAAGAAAGAAAAAGCTGCATGGTTGGTATATAACACTTTGAAAGTATAATTTAAAAGATTCAATCTGCATACCCTGAAGCCAAAAGATGGAGAGATGGAGGGTGGAGAATGCTTGGAAGAAACAGTAGGTAAGAAAGGCCCGCGGGTGTAGCATGCTATACCAGTTTCCATGGCTGCAAGAGGATGTCCAAAGGTTGAAGATGATGTTGTGTTATTTGATGTTATTGCATTGATTGATAGATAGATAGAGAGACTAAGAGGGAGAGGAGGGGATAGCAATTTTAGATATGTGGCTAACTATGTGTGTAGTGCCACGTGGCAGGTGCAGAGTAGATAGGCTAATGAAGCTGCATTTTGGTATGAATATTTAGCATCGCATGTATTTATGTGGTTGTGCTATGGTTTTTTATAAACGAGATATGGTGGGGGAGATGCTAGTCACCACTGTTTGTTAGTAACTCACTTGTGTTGAACTCTGTCTTCTGCATACGTGTGCTGTGGTCGCTCCTATTTTTCTTCACTTTTTAGCAATCAAAATATAGTTTAGATTAAAGAATAACAATTTATTGCGATTAGGATAAAGGAATATGAGGTAAATTTAATCTAAAAAATATTCGTGTTAACAAAAATAAACTAAAGCAAAAGTGTATCTATACAAAATCTGAATTAATTCTATTATATTTTTCGATTAATCAGAATTAGTACATGGGTAAATGTTGAAAAACATTAAAATACATTGGTTGGAATATGTATTGTCCATAGAATCAATTTTGAGAATCCATAATTGATTACCTACCTACATAATGGAAGTTAGAATCGATTACATATGAAGTTTACGAAGCGTAAGTTCCTTACTTAAAGTTGTTAAAGTTGCAGCTATTATTGGAGTGATTTGACATATAAGAAACTACTATGGATTTCAATTTCCTATTGATTTTAGTACAATAACTAGCAAAATTAAAGAACTGGTTAGATTAGATTGACCAATAATAATTCCAAAAAGACCATATACAACATTGTTTCATATTTAATGGTTCTTAAATTTGTTAACGTAAATACTAGACAGGGTAAGATTTCCATTTTTAAGGAAATTATTTAGAAATTTCCATAGCCTAATTGGATAAAGGTAAATAAATACAGATGGAGTTACTCGATTTTTCTTGATATGGCTGTGTGGTGGTGGTATTTGGAGAAAAAAAAATATTGAGACTTTTTCAATATTTATGAACATACGAAATTCTGTTCATGCAGAATTTATGAAAATCATTTATACAATCGAATACTAGTTTACAAACAAATTGAAAATATTAAAGAAAAAATAAATAGTTGAATAACACTCAGAAAGACAGAAGTAAAATCAAGCATTAGTTTACTGAGATAAAAATAAAAATAAAAAATACCTTACACATTCAATGAAAGAATCTTCTTATAAAATATTCAAATTTATGAGAAAATTAAAGTTTAATTAAGGGTTAAATATGTTTTTAGTCCCTAAACTATTGGTCGGGTACAATTTGGTCCTCATTCTTTTCGAAACGTTCGTTTTAGTCCTCGGAATTTTGGTTTTAGTCCTCATTTGTTACTAAATGAGGACCAAATTTTTAAACAGTGTTTAGTTTTCGAGGACTAAAACGAACGTTTTCGAAAAGAATGAGGACCAAATTGTACCTTACTTTGAAACAGGGACGAAAACCAGAAACGGCCAATAGTTTAGAGACTAAAAACATATTTAACCATTTAATTAAACCAAACAAAATATTCTAAAATAAATATATTAGAGTAAAACAACTTGTCTCATATTTTCCTTTATCCCATATTCCTAAATTTAATCATTATAATTTAACACATTTAAAATTTTTAGTTATTTTTATATGAATAAAAAAATAAAGACATGCAACTTCACTCTTCCGATAGTCAAGCTAAAAGGTTAAAACAAAACAAAAACAAAGGAAAGACAGCAAAAATAAAGGAAGCTTCCTTCCGTAGTAGTACGACGACTAACAGAGAAGCGGCGAAATATCCTTGCACTCGTATCTATGGCAACGCCTTTGTTTTCTTTTAGCATTTTTAACGAAAATATACAAACTTTTTTTGGCAAGATTATTGCTTTGGCTTAGCGATGTCTTTCTCAGGTGCTTTTCTCATAGTCTCATCTCAGTCTGAAAGTTTGAAAATATTTTTCAGAAGTTTGTTTTTTCTTAAAGAAAACAACAAAGTGCAAAGCTCGGATCTTTTTGATTTGATATCATGATTGATAGATTTGGTATCATGAACGATGAACAAATGAATTCTTGTTAAATTATAGATAATCCCTTTGGCCCTTGGAAGCAAAGTGCAAAGAGGAGGTGCTTCTTGAACTGTATTATAGGTTCGTATTAGCTTGCAGTTTGGAGTTCGAAGCTATGTCTTCATATGCTCATCAAATACAGCAGCAACACTCTGTACCTAGTCTCTCAGATGATTCCGGTATGTAGTGCCAATTTTGTCACTCTTTAGCTATGAATTAATAGTACCAATTTATTTGATCCAAGTTGCAGTAGTTTTCCCTTAGGCTGAAGATGACAAACTAAATTTACTCAATTTATTCATCATACATGTTCTTGGCTTGTTCTGTTTTTTAACATCTTCAAGATGAAGTTTTTTATTTCGTGTTTTGCAGAGACAAGAAGCCATTATGAGCTAGAGTCAGGATTCTTCATGAAATCGTTTACTGCAACAATCTTTGTTGCTTCACTTGTCACCCTTGGGGTTTTACTAATTACGTTGGTCATTTCCTTGGTGATTATGCTGCAGTCCTGTCAAAGTAAAAGCGCTGGAGTAATCGAGCTTCTGAATATAAAGGATTATTACAGTTATTGCAGGTTGTATTCTCTGCATGCTGAGCTCAATAACTTAGAAGGATACAATCTTCCTACAACATGCAGAAACCTGGGTGTTCAATATATCAAAGGAGGTCAATATGCCAGAGAGTTGGATTTGACTATGTCTGTGATTGACGATTACTTCAAGAATGTTAAACCTTTAGAGGATGGTTTGGATGTGGTTTTGATGGACATAGATGACATTTTCCCTTGGAATCATTCTTCTAATTTGTTTCACAGGTAATCTCTTCAAACCAATGACTCTCATACAGGGTGACAGGATATAGATTGCATCAGATTATAGTATAGTGGAGACAAAGTTTTTATCAGTGGTTTGTTAAACTAGCACCAGTTCACTAATTTTGTATTCCTCGCTTCTCAAAACTCCGTTGATTATCAGTTTAACACCCTTGTAGTTCTTAAAACTTGATGTTGATCTTCATTATCTGTAATTGCATCGAATATAAGCTTAACAAGGATGTCTTTCCGTGTAGGTTTTATAATGACAGCACTAGCAACTGTATTAAAGAGGCAAACAATGTAAAGCTCATGTTTGTTTTAAGATTGTACAAGTACCTACAAACTGGTGGATGGTCTATAATTTTGTTATCAAGAGAACCTAGAACATACCGAAACGTCACCATTAATCATCTTGTCTCTGCGGGATTTAGAAGCTGGTCTGCCTTGATAATGAGGTAAGTGATAATGTTCCTTTTATATATCAAAGATCAAGCCTTGTTACCAAGTCTTGTGAGTCCTCAATCGGTTATGCTTTTAATACACCATCTTGTATTGAGGATTACCTGCATATTAAGAGATCATGTAATATTTCAGAATATAAGTTCGTACCTAGTTATCTACCAGGCTACTACTAAATTTACTTATACTTTTTTCAAACGCATTATAAAGGGGCACTTTTACAAACTTAGCTTAACCAAAAGTATCAAGTATTATGCTGTCAATTGTTTACTTTTTTTTTGCAGAGCAGAAGATTCAGATCCTACGAAAGGGTATGAGTACTTTTGTGGCCAAAGGAATGTGGTAAGAAAGAAAGGCTTCCGAATAAAAAGCATCATAAGCAGCCATATGGATGCCGTGACCGTTCGAGAGACTGGAGAGCGAAATTTTTTACTTCCAGACCCTCTGTGTGACAAGTTTGTGAGAGAGCATAGATACTGAATGTTAGTTTCATCGTTCATCCTTCAGGAAGAGAGTTCCTTTTATTATTCTCTGAATCTAAGTTTGTTCTTGCCACTCATTTAACACCAATCCTACAATCTAATCTTTCCTCGAGGCTAAAATAGCTCTCCAACTTTGAGGTTTGTTTGTTATGTGATTGTAGATCCTTGTATACTCATGTCTGAGACATTACCAGTATGTTTGAAAACCAATTAATCAAATTAAGGAAAATTTCGTTTTATTGATGTCGATAAGGCATTTAAGTGTATCCAAACATGTATATAATATTATGACATTTTTTAAGGAGTTCTTATATTTTTGACAATTAATTGATTTCATACAATACTGTACAACCACGATAAGTTCTAAAATGTTTTTTTTTCACTGATATGCTTATTTATTCTCTTAAATATAGTATTTTATTATTAAAATAAAGTTAGTAAATGGTTGTCGACAGTAAACAGTGTTACACAAAGATTTTAGGGCTTGGAAACAATTAGCGTGTTGCAGGAATTTCAGGCTCATAATCACGTTCCTTTGGAATCTTTGATAACAAGCTTAAATTGCGGAAATAAATCTGGATGACGAAAATCATGTAATTTCTTTGCCGTATTTTGAGCTTCAATTTCCAATTCAAGAACAAGGTTCTGCAACTTCAAATAATTAATGATACTTCAAAGGTAACTAAACCCATAATTGCCTTATTTAACCTGTTTCACCATTTTGCTTTTTTCTTTCCGAGCAACTGGTGTCAAACCAGTATTCTCTAATTAAAGAATTCAAAATAGAAAGATTGGGATAACATCTGCACAGGGGTAGCAAACATCTGACTGATTTAAAACCAACTGTAAATGGATATTCACATTAAAATAACGCTAAAATAAGCTACTACTTATTGTATCTATCGGTCATTGATATACAGTTTTAAACTTCCAAGTATAGTCTCGTTTAGGAAACCCCTTGAAAATTTATGTTATCGTCATATTACAAGGAACGGACCACTTTGCCTAGCCACCATGTTCTATGAGGTACTATAAAAAAATATATACCGAAAGCATGACAATGGCCTAGACCGGAGGCGGACCGCTAGACTGAAGCCGCTGCAACCACGAGATCCTCAGATTAGCCGTTTTCAATTGCAGAAAAATTTCCCTATATTCCTGCTTAAGGAATACATCTAAAGCAAACATGTAGAGCTCACTTCCTTGTTCTATTTCTTCCATTCTATCAAGGCATTCAATGCACTCACCGATGCTATAATTGCATTTGCCTTCAGTGGATGAAACTGCACTAGCATTCTTTTGAATACTTACACCAATTCTTGATGCAACCGCATCACAATGACATTCAGTTTTCTCGTCAAAGTTGACAGTATCAGGTTCTTTTGTGTGAAAAGGGAAAGTAATAACACTATCATCACTTTTCCTTTGTTGAGCCGTAGGTTCAGTCTCTCCAGTAACAGTAGTTCCATTAAAGATGGCTTCCAACATGTCAGTGAATTGTAGCTCCTTTAAGCGAAATTGTGAAGCTTCTGGATTTTCCTGTACCGAAAAAGTGGAAATCATGAACTTCCGTTAAGATTTAGAAACTTGCATGGGCTACAAATTAGCTGCACTCAGAAACTTATCATACCTGTAAATAGTTGTTCCAATCTTCTTCACTAGCCTCAAACCTCAGGTTAGATGGGTCCCATTTCATGTAACTGGTGCCAATAAGCTTACACCAAATTTTCCATTGTTCCTTGGTAGAATCCCAGTGATTCTTAAGTTGTAATCTACCATAATTTAAACCAGTTTTTGCATAAAATGTTTCCATAATGTTTTTCCAACCTTCCTTTGTAAAATGTGTCCCGGGCTTATTCCCTTGTAACGTCTCCTGCAGACATAGATCAACAAAGATCTTGTGCACCGTAGGAGTCCATGCAGCTTTGACCTTGGGATGTGATGAACTGGACATGCTCTGCTCACTTGGAACTGTACTGATTGGGATGGCATTAACCATAATGGCACTCTTTAATCCACTATCCCGACCAACATTCCTACGTTTCTTCTCCCTCTCTTTTCCACGCAATGTAGCTGAGGCATCATTTTGCCTCTTAATCATTGCTACCATTTCCTCAGTTGGCATAGCTCCATCAAAGACTACACGTAATTTGTCAGAAAACTGGAGCTCCTTAAACCGAAATTGTGCAGCTTCTGGGAATGCCTGCGACAAAACGACTTCATTACCTTTAAAACAATGAAAAAGATCACTTATAATATTGAATGAATATCAGTAATTACGATGAATACTTTTATATAATTGTGCCAATCTTCCTCAGAAGCACCAAACGTATTGGTATGAGGGTCCCATTTCATCTTATCATCACCAATCAACTTAGCCCAGATTTTCCATAGTTTCCTAGTTGAATCATAATGATTTTTAATTTGTTTCTTATCGTATCTCATACCAGTCTTTGCATTAAAGGATCCGACAATATTCCTCCAGCCCTCCTTGGTAAAATGTGTAGCATTCTTGTTCCCGTTCAACGTTTCTTCGATGCACAAGTCAACAAACATTTTATGGTATGCAGGTGTCCAAGAAGCTTTTGGTGTTGGAGAACAGCCAACCATAATGGTACTATCTGATTCATAATCCCTACCAACATGCTTGCGTTTCTTCTCTCGCTCTTTTCTACGCAAAGGAGATGTAGCTGAAGCATCATTCTGCCATTTGAGACTGGCCCACCTTTTCATTTCCTCGACTCGATTTCCTCCGTCAAAGATGATATCGAGTTTGTCTGTAAACTGGATTTCCTTAGACTGAAACTGAGCAGCTTCTGGGGTTGCCTGTGAAAACTTGGCTTCATTATTATTAATCTGGGACCAAAAGAGCATCTTACAATCTTGGATTTACATCAATAATAAATTAATAATCACTACTCATACCTTTATATAATTTTGCCAGTCTTCCTCAGAAGCACCAAACGTCCGCGTTTCTGGATCCCACTTCATGTTGCTATCATCAGTCAACTTGACCCAGACTTTCCATAGTTTTCTAGTAGAATCATAGTGATTCTTAAATTGCTTTTTTTCATATCTCACACCAGTCTTGGCATAAAAGGATCCAACAATGTTCCTCCAACCCACCTTAGTAATTCGCGTCGACCCGGGTTCATTCTTCAGCATTTCTCGAAGGCACAAATCAACAAATATACCATGGAACCCAGGTGTCCAAGTAGCTTTAGAAGTCGGACTGGACATTCTTGTATAACGAAAATGTTCTGATAATTTTACACGCAATTAACTAGTGACAATCAAACCAACCAACTTCAATTTCATAAAATACAACAAGCTCCTATCCTAATTGTAAACTCTCCTGTCTGAACCCCTACCAATCACACCGCAAAGAATAATAAATTGATCTTGACAAGACTAGCATATCAAGAAATAACTATTAACAAATGAAAACAAAAAATGACATTAAGCTAAAATAACTCTTGAGTGGGTACAATTGCACAGACCTTTAGTCCTGAGATGAATAATAACACAAATTTGACAAATCAAGATATTTTTACAACCTCAAATGGAGAGACTCTGAGCCGTGATATCTATAATTCACCTTCACCGACATGCACGTGCATGCTTCGATCATGGAAGGGATCAAAGATGGGGAAAGGGGGATTTCAGAGATAATGGGACTAAAATTGAAAGGAAAAAACGAAAGATTAATTAAAGACTATGAATTGGTACTATCTTTGCATGCGCGACAAGGTGTAAGAGCCGAAAAATATTTGGGGGAAAAACGGGTAACAGTGAGTGAGAGCGAAGAGGCGAAGTGTTATACCTGAACTTCATCGACAATGCCGCATTTGTAGGGAACGCTAATTTGATCGTCGTAAGTGCTTCGGAAACTCAAGACTCGAGATACGTATGTTCTTTTTCTCTGGGATTATTAGCTCCTAACCTTCTGTCATTGTTTCTTTTCTTTTTTTATTTATTTTTTTCATTACGATCACAATCGAAGCCCATGAGTAAATGGGCATAAAGCTAACTCTCTTCAAACGGTTACTCCCTACACTATCCCACTTTCCTCTCTGCACTATTATATTTTTTTTTTAATTTCAAAATTATTCTTTATATTTTAAAATATCTTACATTTCCACCTCTTTTTTTCAACCGATGTGTCACATTTGTTGAGTTTTTTTTTAATTTTTAACTTTTTAATTTATTGTATTTTAAATTAATATATAAATATTATTTAATTTTTTTAAAATTATTACTTAATTATTTATAAATTAATTTTATTTTATTTAATAAAATAATAATTATTAATTTAATTTAGGTATTATTATTTAAATAATAATTAAAATATTTTTTATAAATATATTAAAACGGATGTTGAATTTTTTTTTGTTTTTAGCTTTTTTATTTTTATTATTTTTTTATTTTAAATTAATATATAAATATTATTTAATTTTTTTAAAATTATTATTTATTTATTTATAAATTAATTTAATTTTATTTAATAAAATAATTATTATTAATTTAATTTATGTATTATTATTTAAATAATAATTAAAATATTTTTTATAAATATATTAAAACGAATGTTCATTGTCCGTTGAATTTTATTTTTTAGTTTTTAGTTTTTCTATTTTTTTATTTTAAATTAATATATAAATATTATTTAATTTTTTTAAAATAATTACTTAATTATTTATAAATTAATTTTATTTTATTTAATAAAATCATTATTATTAATTTAATTTATGTATTATTATTTAAATAATAATTAAAATATTTTTTATAAATATATTAAATAGGATGTACATCTGTTGAATTTTTTTTTTAGTTTTTAGTTTTTTTATTTTAAATTAATATATAAATATTATTTAATTATTTTAAAATTATTAATTAATTATTCATAAATTAATTTTATTTTATTTAATAAAATAATTGTTATTAATTTTAATTTATGTATTATTATTTAAATTATAATTAAAAAATTTGTTATAAATCTACTAAACGGATGTTCCACGACATCCGTTGAATTAGTTTTTTTTTTAGTTTTTAGTTTTTTAAGTTTTTATAATTTAAATTAATATATAAATATTATTTAATTTTTTTTAAATTATTACTTAATTATTTATAAAATAATTTTATTTTATTTAATAAAATAATAATTATTAATTTAATTATATATTATTATTTAAATAATAAATAAAATACTTTTTAAAAATCTATTAAACGGATGTGGCACATCCGTTGAAGTTTTTTTCTTTAAATAAAAATAATAAACTAAAATATAAAATATGTAAATGGATGTCAATATCCGTTGAAGGTGAAACAGATGTTGACATCCGTTTTATAGAAGGACAAATTAGGTATGGGGTGGTGCAAGGAGCGATTGGTGGTGGTAGAGGGAGCAATTCTCCTCTATTTAGCACCTAAGTTGAGAGAGCCCAATATCCATTTTCAATTTCCACTGAAAAAATAAAACAAAATATCTTCTTTAAGTAGACACTTATTTGTTTATCTATGTTTTAAAATTGGACTTAATAGGGTACAAACATATAAATAAATTTCTCATCTGTTACATCTACCCATCTTGTGATTTCAAATTAATAGACTTTTTAATCAACTTATGAAAATATTGAGTATTATTCTATGGATATCAAATAGAATTATCTTTGTATTAGAAAAAGAAACGAAAAATTAAAAATATTCAAACAAAGAATAATAACTTTGTTATTTTATTTTATTTCACATTAAATTAATGTAGAAGAAAATCGAAGTCCCACATCGAATAAAATATGAAATAGACATGAATTTATATATACATAAGAAACTTTTATGAATAAAAGAACTTTTAGAATGGTACTAAAAACAAATCCATAAGTGCTTAGCTCAAAACAAACAATATTGTTAATTTTATAGTAATTTTTTTTTTAATTTAGAAGTGATTGTGGAGTAGATTTGTAAGAAATTTGACTGATAAAAAAGAATTAATAGATTAAAAAGTAAGATTATCAAATTTACCTATATATTAAAAGTAATATAATATTATATTTAAATGAGTCAGAATTATTTTATAATTTTTTTAATGAATGATTTTTTTTAAAAGTATTAATTAAAATAAACAAAGATATAAAACATAAATGATTTCCACACGGGATAAGTTTCAACCACCACAGAACAAGTTTCATTCCTTTCTTTAAACATAGTAAAATCGATTCCTTGTTAATTTCCATGGATGTTATTTCAACTGACAGAAAGAATATTCATGTAAAAACACGTGTTTCACACTCAAATCTCTACTTTGAAGTGATATAATACATTAACATGAATCTTGTAATTTCACTATTTTTATCGTTTCTTAATGCTTGCAAAAAAAAAAAACACCATTTGTCTCTCAAATCATCGCTTTCTATTTTCTTCTTTGAATAGTAATTTCATGTAAAACAACATAACCTTAAGATACTTGCAAAGATTACCTATCACAAATAACAAATGAATACTCGTAATAATTGATATAAATATTTAGTTATTTGTTTGTTGATAAAACGAGTATAAGTATTATGCTATCTAATCCATTAATATTTATTATCAAAGAATAATTATTAATAAATTTTATTTGATTATTTTTTTAAATTCAAATAACCAAAATAAAATTATTGATAAAAAATATTAATAATAGAATAATTATTTAAAATTTAACTTTAAATATTTCTATTTCTTTATTTAGATTATAAAATTGTGGTTATTTTGTAAAAGGTTAATTTTTAGAATTTATGTTTTTAGTGCAAATCATTTAAATTTGTTTTTGAAAAAAAAGATAATTTTTTTTGCGTTAGTATTTTATTCAATATTTTAAGTTTAGTTGTACTTAAAAATTAATTTTTTATCTAAGTTTACATTTTTGTAATATTAATCATTTTTTGGAGCCCAAAATTTGTCAATGATATTTTCCGTATAACAACGTTTGTATAATTTAAGGACTGGTTTTAATTTAATGTAAAATTATTTCAGAACAAATTAAATTAAAAGTATGTTTTATATTTTCTTTTTTTTTAGTTATCATCATCTCTTGTGACATAAGTTGAGTTGTTCCAATTAAAATTTAAGAAAATATCTGAGATTAGGAAATTGTGGACAACTAGATTTTCACGTCTTAAAAATTTTCGTGAAGTTATAAAGTTGATTTAGTGACAATTGAGAAAAAAGATAAAAAAAATAAATCATTTCTTATAAAAGTTAAGGTGTGGTTTTGATTTAATATAATATTATTTTAGAACAAATTAAAACTATTTTTTATGTTTTTTTTTCTTTTAGTTATCATGCTATAATTGATGGTGAGAAGTTGAGTTACTTTAATTAAAATTTGAGAAAAAATTTGAAATTAAGAAGTTGTGAATAGATACTCATATTTTAAAATTTTCTTTGAAACTATGTAAGGTTGGTCTAGTGTAAAAGTGTAAGAATGATATGAAAAAATCTGATTTCAATTCTCCGTAATATTTGAAAAATATAAAATTAGTTGAAAGGGTTTAAAATAAAAGAGGAGAAAGATTAAAGATTTAACTTTCTTAACTAACAAAAACTAACAACTATAAAAAAAAAATCTTAAAATCCTCCATCCACGTTTTAAAAAAATATTGTATTCTGGTAGAATTTTTAATTGTATTTATTTATTATGTGTAAAATCGTATTAACTACAATAATAATATTTGTATGCGTATTTTAATACTGACATTATTTACATATATTTATTATATGGGAAAAGAGAGAATAGATAAAATAAAGTATTATATAATTATTTTAGTAAAAATGTTTATTGTATTTACTAATTCTCTTAAGTATAACGGTGAAAGACAGGTAATAAACTTGAGGGAGTTCCACGGTAATTCCTCTTTCCCTGGAAGTTTTTTTTTTTTTTTTTTTGGAACTTGTAATTAACCAGAAGTTTATATAAGAGCAGTGAAATTTGACATTTATCCGAAGCCATTTCTCTCTCACACCAGTTCCTGCTTCTCCTTTCTTGTGAAAACCACACAAGAGTTACCAACAGATGCAAGTCTAAACCATTGAAATTCACTAAACTCCATTGTTCTAGTTTTTCACTTTGTTAGTGTCATCTGCATTTGCTTTAGGAGTTGCTTCACCAAAAGGAAACACCTTCTTCTTGCTTTTCCTTTCCTGATTGTAAAGAATCTCTCTTGTCTAATTTGGGACTTCACTGTTCACTTTCTTCATCAGCTTGCTGTTGGATTTGTTATTTATTTCTGCCATCATTTCATTCTACTATGATCTCAATTCCAGGTACGTCATGATTTTTCAAGATTCCCCTCGATTCTAAAGGGTAAAAGTTCAACTCTTGTAGATTCTTCAGTTTATGCTCTGACCGAAAGTAGAGTCTTGACTACACTTGAAGGATTGTTAATATCTTGCCCCTTCAATCATAGTTGCGTGAGTTCTCTGTTGTTGCTGTTGTTCATTTTTTTCCAGTTTCTCGTTCATCTCGAGTGTAGGGGAATTTTGTTGTAAGGTATGGAATTCGAGACCCCATATCCAACTTGTTTTGTGTCAAATTCAAATTGGTTTGTTCAAGAGGGTCACTACACAGAATGGAGTAGAGAAGAGAATAAGCAGTTTGAAAGTGCCCTTGCCATATATGACAAGGATACCCCTGACAGATGGCTGAGGGTTGCGGCCATGCTCCCGGGAAGAAGTGTCTATGATGTGATAAAACAGTACAGGGAATTGGAAGAAGATGTCAGTGAAATAGAAGCAGGAAGGATTCCAATTCCTGGATATCTTACCTCTTCTTTCTCATTGGAGATGGTTGACAACCAATGTTATGATGCCTGCGGAAAGAAGTCTGCAACAGTCAGGAGTTCTGATCAGGAGAAGAAGAAAGGGGTCCCTTGGACAGAAGAGGAACACAGGTCACTTTTATCATCTTCATTTCTCTTTCTTTTTAATGTCTTACACTGGTTGGGGAAACTGCATCAAAATGTAGTCTGTTTAACTTTTATACATCCAATTTAAAATGTATTTATCCAGAACTGCCGACATGTCAAAACATAATTTTTAGTTAAACTGGATACTTCTTATGCAGTTTTAATCTCTATGATTTTTGGTTCCTGCGCTTGACATGGATTTTTGGGTGTTGAATTTCAGACGTTTTTTGATGGGACTTTTAAAGTATGGTAAAGGGGACTGGAGAAATATTTCTCGCAAATTTGTGATCACAAAGACTCCCACTCAAGTGGCAAGCCATGCTCAAAAGTATTACATAAGGCAAAAGCTTTCTGGAGGGAAATACAATAAGAGGAGGCCTAGTATCCATGACATCACCATTGTTAATCTTACATCACACCAAGAGAAGTTCAATGAATCTCACATGCCCTCTGAGAAACCGAAGCTGAATGGCATGCCAAAAGTGCAGCTTGAATGGATAAATCGCCACAACAATATTGGTTCACTTGTGGCTTTCAATCCAAATTATGATATGTTGATGTCACCTTCATCTGGCATCGTATCTCCCAAGACCCTCAAATTGCAAGGTCTGGATTTCTATGAATGTGCTTTTCATGAGACTTATGCCAAGCTTAAAAATCCGGGTTTCAACAAGGAAGCTATTTTTGGTATTCATGCACTGTCGTGCCCGCTCTGATCATGTGATGAACCACACACCAGTTCTGCTACATAGATAATATATAGCCCTGCATGAATACAAGTATATGAACTAAGGGTACTTGTTTTATGTTATGAACATAAATAATGTTTCATTCCTTGAACTGTTTTGTAGTGAACCCTTTTCAATGTTTCTTGTCTATCTCACTCAGACAATTAAGGTGTCTATTTGTTTGTATAGACTCAATCTGCATCAATGTTTATTGAATTCCATTAGATCACAAGTGTGTAAAAGATGAAGGTTTTAAAATGTAATTTATTTTGGAAGCTTTTCATTCCTGTCCAATATGCTATAAATTAAAGCACATAATGGTATTAATGTTCTGTCCTCAAAACCCGAGACCAATATGTTGCTGTTGGTTTTCCACTCAGACCTCAGTGTTCCATTTCCCAAAATATAAAAATATAGCCCCAAGTCAAAATAATGGACTTTGTTAGATACTTATAACTGTTGCAAAACCTTATAAAAACTTATTTATATAAAATGTACCTTCATAAGCATAGCTTGTAATAATATATTTTGGTAGGTAGCCAATTCACTTGCTGATTTGGCTGACTCGCTTGAGCACTTGAATCGAAACTTTGGGTGTAGATTCTGATGATACAGTAAGCTTTATGTCTTTTGAAACTTTCCACCATCTCTAATCATATGCTTTCTGAGAGCAAGTTGACCAGATTTGATCATCAGCATCACGTTGGTAGTAGAATCTGAGTTTGCATTCCACTTAACTAGAATCCCATGCTCATTGGATCAGAATACAGGCATGTTCACGTACAAATGCCAATGTGGCTCACACTATCATACTCATCTTTTGTTAATTTCAATTTTCAGCAAATCCACCTTTTTGTGGTGACAATACTGTTGTGCCAGCATTTTTCCTTCGTTTACTGGTCACTGAAACAATCATGCTTTATTTTTATTGTAGCCTCGTGCGTTATGCGGATTTTTGTTTTCTCTAAAACTATTAGTAACAGTAACAAAAGGCAGATGCAAACTTTAGATACGTGCTGTGCATTTTTAAATATTGATCTATTAATATGAGTATTTGGTTATAATTAAATTGATATTATAATTAAGCTATTTGCGTTCAAGGAATCAAAATTTGAATATTAAATAAAACAATTAATATAATAAAATGTTGACATTGTTTGAATGAAAAGTGATTTAGTAATAATTCAACATTCACTTATCCTGGAACAATCAAATATTGCATTACGTAATTGTTGAGTTAATTTTTTAAAATTATTTGTTACTTAAACATATTTGTGAAATTGGTGAATTCTAAACTTAGCAATGTCCATATTTATTATGTTTATTTTATTTTGTATATTAAGTGTTTGAATGAAAATAAGATTCTTTTTTGCAAATATAAAATAAAATCTTAAAGAACTTGATAAAAAAATATCAATCAAGATTAATTACAAAAAATTATCGATATTAATATTTTTAATTTTTAACAATTACTTTATATTTTTACTATTTTTTTAACTTGGTAATAATTAAAATGTTTTATTCAGACAAAAAAATTAAAATCTAGTAAATTTGAATTATATTAAGTAAATAGAACCTTTAAAAATAAAATAATTTAAAATAAAATTAATTTAAATTTAATATATTTAAATATCTTAAAAATCATGAAATTCTGAATCCAAATTATAGGAAGAAATTATATGATTGCCACTCTCAAAAATATATTGAATAACAATGACGTTGCTCTGATGTGCTTACAACGACGAATGAAACATTGGTTTGTTTGCGAGAGATTTAGAATTACTCAGATTAGTCTTAAAACAAACACACTTATATAAATTAAATCCATCCATTAATTCTCTTAGCATCAATTTGGTTCTTGGAATTATTTAAATTATAAACCTTTTCATGTTTGATATTATGAAAACGGCGATTTTCATGTTTTAGAAATTGCTACACGAAAGAAGTATCTAATAATTTTATTTTCTGGAAAAATCTAACAATCAGAGTATATCTCTTTCTAATATTTTTTTTTCAGTCACACTATTTAAGTCTATATTGCTTAAGAAATTAAAGTATAATATAATTTTAACAAATAACTTAATAACACCTATTTCGTTGCTATATACACATATATGATGATATAATACTATTATAACTTTCACTTTATTCCATACAAATCACTTATATAGTTCGTGATTAAACTCAATCTATTAGGACAAATGCTTTTCAAGTATATTAAAGACAAATGAATAAATTTCTTATAATTATAATCATCAGATTAACATCTAAGATAGTTTCTTAAAAATATGCAAATGTACAGCATAAAATAATTGTCCATTAAATTAAAAAAAAAAACTACAAAGAGTTATTAATTTTTAAAGTATTTATATTGTAAAAAAAATAACAGAACTGAGACTCAGACATCTTACTTTGTTTTCATCGAATCTAAAGAAAGATGAAAACGTATGAATTATCTCTTTATCGTTCTTTTGATCTCTCAAAAGATTTGGGACAAATCTTTTACCCAGACAACTTTATTGGACTCAACTTTATACCGAATATGCATTCCCCTTCTTCGCTATCACCATGCAAAAAGCTCTCTTTTTCACACTTTCTTTTGCTCCACCACGTCCATTCATCTTTTCACACATCATCATATTTCTTGATTAATTTTTTTATCAACTTGTAAAAATATGAATAAATACAAATAAGTATAATTTTTTACTAAGATGGTTTTATTGTTCTTTTTATTTGGAAATTTCTTTCTTAATGTTGAGAAAGAGAACATCTATTTATAAAAGACTCTTTAATTCTTAAATCAATAATATTTTAAAATAAGGTGAAAGTTATAATTTATAAAATAAGTTTTTCTTCAAAAATACTAATCATATAGATCAATTCTGGATATATATTTCTATTAAAATAATACTTACCAAAATATAATAACAATATAATAAATAATTATATAATAATTAATTTATCAAACTACCGAGTAGTTGTAATAGATAAATATGATCTAAATAGATAAGTTTGGATTGTTTTATAATGAATTTAAAGAACTTTATTAGATAATGATTTTTAATATGTTTATTAGATTTTATATATATATATTAAACTGTAATAGTTGTTTGATAAATTTGAGCTTGTCTTAATGGTAGAAAGGAAATTTGGAGATTATGAATATATAACCATTATCGATTAATTTAAAAAGAGTTTGAGCTGGTGCAAGAAGTCTCCAAAAAAACTGCAGCAGTTCCGTTTATAGAATAGAGTTTGGCTTTAGCATTATTTTCCAGTGATCCACTAATGAATGGAATTCCAGTTTTACATGTGATGCATTATTTATTGTTAAGGACATAATCAAGTTCTTTTTTGCATAGTTTCTTTTATCAACTGCATAATTTCTTTTATAATATAACTTTTACTGAATCATTAAACTTAATCATTTCCCACAGTATTACTTAGAGAAAATTATGTCACAAAAAGAAATGACAATGACATTATTCCTTGTTAATTTGCAGATAAAAATCAAAATGTTTTCAAATGGAAAGAAAAAAAAAATTATTGTTTTACATAAATAAAAACAATACAACAAGTTGAGACCATAAGACGAAAAGAACAATTGGATGTTGAACTTGGATCAACTTCCGTATTCAATTTGAAAACCAGATTAAGTTAAACGTAATAATATTTTTTACAAGACTAATGATATTTTTGGTTCTCCTTTTGTACATTAGAAAATGGAATTTCCCCTTCAAACACCCTGCATCAATTCAACAACCTTTCTCTTTAACCATTATATTAGTCATCGTCAATGTACACTTCAATAATAGTGAGAATACATTATTATGAACTCTTTAAGTAGTTTTATCATTCAAAATTGGAGAGTTACGTAATGATAGATTTTATTATGATTAATTTAGTTAAACGTATATGTCAACGTTTTTTTTATTGAGTTTGTATTTTCATCATGATTTTTTTTTACCCATACAATTTTTGTCTTATCTACTTAATATATTAACTTCTAAACATTTCGGTAATATTATTTAACTTTAATGTCATTCACCGTATTTATATTAGTATTATTATAAATAATTAAAATTTCAATAACAAAAAATTTGTCCACTAGTTCTTAAATTTCAAAATAGTATATTATTTTTTTATTTCACCTATTATTTAATTTATTTAAATATGAAAAATAAAATTGAAAAATCATAAAATAAAAATATTTTAATTTTTTCATTACAGTCAAGAAAAGGTATAAATTTATTTCTTTATTTTATAAACAAATTAATATAGTAGTAAAATTAGAAATATTTTTATATTATTATCTATTTAAAAATTTGAAAAAAAATCAATATTTTGGTAAATTTGTAACAATATTTAAGGATTATAATTTGTAGTCAATTTCAAAGGTTAGATATATTAAGATGAAATAACGTACGGTGGGCAATAGCTCTGTATTGTCACTTTAGCCACCTACAATGGCCACAACATTATAGTACGACCGTAGTGCCCTGCTTCAGCCGTTGCGTCGCATTGTGCCTTTTGCGCCTTTTATGGGCCACAATATCATACCACAACATGTTACAACATTTGCATCTTACTCATAACCAAAAAATCTTTTATAACAACTCTTCTAATCAAACAATCTTATTTGGAAATCATAGACCCTAATTCAAGTAATTTTACCTTAAAAAATTAAGATCATAACTAATAAAATCCGAAAAATTGTTAATGAAAAAAAATAAATTATGACACGTGATAAAATCTTTTAACAATTATAAATGAAGCCCTTCAAAACCAAGACGGAACAAAACTTCAATGTTGCAAAGGATCACCGTATCTTTTGGTTAGAAAAACTCAATTTTAGAGAGAGAAAAATGTGATTTACATAAAATTGGATAAGGAAAAACTTCAGAAAAAAAAAATTCTATCCCTTTGGCGCAACAACAAAGTGAAATAGAATAAAATGAGTGAATAAGATTGGCAACTGCACCTCAGAGTTTCTTGGTGAACTCCAGTCTAGAGGATCGCACACACGTTATCAAGGACGGTTTCTTAATAAGATTATCATTTCATGCCATTTTTATAATTGACGTGCACTTTGGATAAGAATGAACGAACATCGTTCAATGACGAGACCACCTTCGACAAAATGACAAATGTGCCAATTGTAAGTGCCAATTGGTGGTGATGAGATGTGTGATAGCAGATATTTTTATTATAACCTAATGTGACACCAGCCAAGAAAGACTTCTTAACTTAGTAGTTTTGGGAAAAAAGGATTGATTTTCCTTTTAAGTTTCCAAATACAGTTTTCTTTGTGGTCCAT